TTGCGCCGCCCAGTCTGTCGTTCTCATTCTCTATTTCTCTTCCCCCTCTCTGTTCGTCTCTCTTTCTCTCTTTTCCGCTTTTTCTTTTTCTATACAGAGGCAGCGACTAGCGACAGGTACCGTCGACGGCTTCTCGTAATAGTAGCACTTCGTGGTGCTTGTTGTTGGTGCGCAAACTTTAGGTAGCGTTATCACGAGAAAGCTGAAAATACGCCATCTCTCCCCCACAAGATAATAAATTAGTCATCGAGATAGATAGATATTATACAATCGCTCGATCGACATGTACGTATACGTATCAAAGTTTAAGCATCGCACGAATTAAAATTCGCACGTTACTTGAAAGGTTTAATGAAATCTGAAATCGCGTCGATAACGATCGTGTATTTATGTTTATGCGTTAATGCTGTTTACATCGCTAAGTATCTTAGTAATATTCATGAGGCGTCGTGTAACGAAATTAACGGTATAAGATGTACGAACTGGGGCCGGCATGGAAGATTATCTGCAGTGAAATGTGATGACAGTAACAGCACACTTTTTCCCTTTATATCCAGCTACTCGGAGGTAGATCACGTCACCGAGGCTAGCAGTAGATAAAAATACATGTCCCTTTCGGGTCGATGATTTTAATTAATTCTAGAGATGGACGTGGCCGCCCATGTCTGCTTTTGGAGCCTTTCGTTCGATCAGTGGCGCGTGTCGTCAGGCTGCTACTGTGCCGCGTGTTACGGCAGCCGACTCATTATCTGCTCTCTCGAAATCGGAATAACTCCCCCGTCGGCCCCCCTCGAATTTATCTTTATTCGTTCGCGATCTCCATTCAACGGAAGCGACAATTAATAGCGCGCGGAGATCAAATATTTCCGCGCTACGTCGGTGCGGTGGATTTAACTCCAATTTCGTGTCGGTTCCCTTCGATGACACGCTGGTGCCTGTTATCTTTAGTTACAGGCGAATGTGTATTTGAGATGCGAAACTGTCTTTGGGGGATGTCAGTCAGTCAGCGGAGTGAGCGCCGAGCGGAAAGCGATGCGGCGAACGCGCGAAAGGGCAAGGGTAGGTAGGTTGTTGAGGGAGGTGGGAGGCAGAGATGCTTTGTAATTACGGTGGCTGATAAATGGAGTCGTGACTCGTTAATCCCCTCCAATTACATCTGATGGGGACCGTTCACACTAAATCTATCTTGCATCATTTTTGAAATTTTCGGACGCCAACGACAGCGACGTAATTTTATCCAAGCGAGCGTCTCATTTTTGTTAGGCACGAACTTTCGGGTACCAGCTACGAAAATATAATAGTTCCCGCAATCGCATTAGGAACTTGGCCGATGTGTGATAATTTAATACACTGCTATTGCTGAATGCAGAATGTGTGGTCGCGCGCTACGGTTAAGTCTTTAACGATAATAAGAGATATGACACAGAGCTCGCGCGTGAAATTCTCCTTGTCTGTCTCTGCACTCGCTAAACGAGCAATTCAACGACCACCCACTTCACGTCCAGCACCGTACAGGTTGTAGATCGGAGCGATTGTGATGCGGATATAGACGAAATGACCAGCATGTATGCATCATTTGTCTTAAGAGAACGGATATGGAACGCGACGCGTAGGTGTAACGATAGGGAGCGAAGAGAAGGTACGGAAATGCATCGGTAAGTATTTTCGTACAGAAGAAGAAAATCTCGAGAAGAAGAGAGGAGTCGGTAACAAGCAAGACGTTAATTGTTGTTGTGTAAATTCGTATATCGTAAATGATAACAATCACTTTATCTATAATCGTTATCAAACCAATCTTTTGTAACATAAATATTTAATTATTAGCAGCTGTGTCTTGGCTCTTATTGGAACTTCTTCTTGCATCAAACGGTATAAGTAATTGATCAGCAATATTCGCTGTCACGTTCGACTGGATTTTAGTCACCACTGTTCCTACACAATATTAGTTTAACAAAACGACAGAGTTAAAAGAAACTACAAAAATGGGTTGAGTAGCAGATGTAGTTGTTGTTTTAACTAGAATTTCTGTTAAAATAATAGATTTTACTACACATGGTTCAAAGTAACACATTGAGGAGCAGTGGCGACGCATCATTAGGTCAAATTTCATACTACGCATTCAATAGTGTTTGAAAAGACTTTCTGTCTTAAGGATATTATATTTAACAAAAATCTAAAGTTGATGAAAGTCTAATTTCGGTTTTAGTAAACGCACTTATAATCATTTCACAGAATACTGGTAAAAGTAATAACATAAGGATTTATCATTATAATTTATTGTCGGGATATTTGCCTCTTCTAAAATTGTCATCACAAGCATAAATAGTCAATTAATATTTTACATTTTACGTAATTGAGTTTGTCCCCTTTTTCCTCCCCTCTCTTTTTGGTTCTGTTTCTGTGTTTCTTTCTCAAGTGGATAATTCACTGTTATTATCGCAGCACAAACGTAGCTGTAATCAATTTTGTATTATATCTCGCTCCAGTTTGAAACAATAGACTGACCAAAATGTCTACAATAATTTCCAACTAATCCACATCCTAGAGAAGTTAGCGAAGGTGTTTAACATCGAAACCTATGGTTTATCCACCCACGGATAGCAAGCAGACAACAGTACATAGATCTTGCAATTAGCGGCTCTTGTGTACTTCCTTCCTTCTACTCGCTTGGAAGCTTGCTATTAATCGTATCGTCTTCCGTTGGATAGAATACATGTATTTTAGAATTAGACCGTACCGTCTTTCAGATCATGTTTTCATATTACATATTGGACATATGTTTTTTATAAGATTGTTACAAAAAGAAACATTGCGCACATGCAGTAGAAATAACAATTAAATATCAGTTAATTACAAAGCTGTACCGCACAGTAATATCATGTTATTTCCTAATTCAAACTTTTAGATTAGACTTTTCAGACTAATTTTCAGAAAAAAGAAGGTATAAAAAAATACACTTTCTAATATTCACAAGTCAATTTTTAAGAAAATTTAATTCCATATTATTTACAGAAAATATGTGTTATTCTGTCATTTTGATGAACTTAATAAATATAACGTTCCTAATTAATTTAGAATTATTGTACATGTACACGTCGCACACCAAGTTATTTATAAATGAAATTATTTTAAAAATATAAAATGGAGCCCAACCAAGTTGAACATGTTGATGTCCTATTATTAAGTATTAGATACATTTAAGAAACATGTGTAAATGCATCTAATAAAATGCATACGAACCAACATGTGCTACCTGGATACATTTTGCTGATTTACTGCATATTGTACATACGTCGAGCTTACTTGTAGACGTCAGTAGTCTACTATCTGGAAATTTCATAAATACAGAACAATAATTATTATGTACTTTGTAGCAAACGATGCAATTTTATCAATTAGACTAAAACTCGTATTGAACACATTGATAAAAAAATAAGAGACCGTTCTTTTAAATGTCTCCGTTGGTATTAAAATTAAAATCGCAAAGTTGAAAACGAAAAAGTGCTGTACACATGTAATAGTTGTAAGATTATAATAATTCTAAAAAAAAACTTTATGAAATTATGACTGAATTTAATACGCCTCTTTATCACCTTTTCTCTTGCTTCGCGTGAGGCGATCTAAGAAAAAATTGACGAAAGACATTTTCATTCCTCCGACGAAATAAGGAAGAATAAAATTATCTAGTCACGGCCGATCAGCAAAATTTTCCCACTGTCGTTAGAATTTTGAGAAAGTCGGGGCCGACATCGTTGAACAAACGAAGGTGCTGGGTGTAAGAAGCGATGGTGCGTAGAGGTACCATTTAGCGCGTTATCAACGCTCTTCCGAAATTCTACGAGTCCGCGGTGTGTGCGTGCGAGTATGAGTAGCGACCTTGGTTCGCGCCATAATATGTCTGACTTCGGAACCCGGTTGGTAGCAACATATCTAGGCAGTTGGCCGGGATGTTCGTGGCATGGGCGGAGGCAGGACTGCACAGGCGGCCCCCCATTCGCTTTCCGGGTGCCACCCTTCTTTTCGAGCTGCCGCGAGGTATTCCTCGCCCCGGGCTGCGGCAATCACGCACATGCTCGCGCATGCGCCGCCACGGCAACGTCGCACGCATGGGCGCCCGCACGATTGTACGGGGACACCGCGGGGGGCGGGGGGCGGGGGCGGGGGGCGGGGGGTGGAGTGGGGTGGGGTGGGCAGAGAAAACAGAAAATGTATACTTATGACGTACGCTATAATGCCTCCCGTGGTACCTGTAAATTACGATATGCGTGTGCATTCAGGACTGCTTATTTTTTCTATCAACCCGAGTGTATCCGAGTGTGATACTTCCAAATGCTGCCCCACAAGTTACGTTGCCAATTTCCCTTGAGCCATTGCAATTGCAAAGCGTGGGGATACGATAAATTATATGTATATCGAAATTTTCATGACAAATATTTCAGTTGCTCAAATGTTACGATGTAAAAATTAAATTTTGCAAAAGACAAGATATATTTGTGTTCTGTGTTGATTAAATTATTAACCTGAACTAAACCCATTGTGCGTCGATTAATATAATCGCTCCAAATTACATCTGGTATAAACTATTAATGTCTCTGGACTATCTCGATGTCGATTTACACTTACCACACGTGTGACAAAAATGTCCGCTATAACGTTGTCAAATTTATTTTCTATTTTTCAACCGGTTTCATGCACAGTATTACACTCGGGTTTAGTTTAGCTCTTATCAAAGTTGGAGAGTGAAAACGATATATTATACGCATACAATTCAATGCGAATGCACCTAAGGAAGAGATAGTGTCAAAACTTAAGATAACAAGTGGCGCGAGCTTTAACTGATTAACGGCGTTTTCTGACAGAATAATAAATAGTGCTGAAAGATTATGAAAAATATTAAAGCAGGAACTGCCGCACAAATGCATAAAAAATAGGAAACATTGCGCGAAAAGAGTTGCTGGACAAGGTTAAATAAGGCAGGAATACGATTTGGAAACATAACGTTATTGTAAATTACGAAACATTTATTTATTCATTTATTTACTTGACAGTTGTATAGTGTTCATCGATCCTTACGATCAATATAAACATAAGCCTTGAAGTGTGCCCAATGATGTCCTTATCGTACATGCTATATACAATTAATAATTATAGCAAAGAGGGGTATAATGTCACACTTATAGAACAATCTCGAAACTCATACACTTATTCCTTACGCTCCCTCACTAGTTACACTAATTCGATTCTTTAGAATTAATGTACCTTAATGTTTATAACTCTGTTTCTTACATGTAATAATATTGTTTTGGTATATCGTCACAGCTGTTCTGTGCATTAATTGTTTGATTACTACTCGCTTAATAGTACAACTTCCGATTTATTCACGGTGCAATTGCGTCCTAATTATTATTGGTCATTCCTCTCGCTCTGACTTTCGGTAAAAATATATACTATTCATTTCAAATTATTTACAATGTCCCGTCACGGAAGGATGTGTTGAAGTAGGGTAGTTTTAATTAACTCGTGTTATTATTCTTTTTGTGTGTTTAAAGAGATCTTTCGAAGTATTCCGGCAATTAAACTACTCCGAATGGGTAATAGTTTTTCCAGAATGACATAACATAGGTGGAAATTATGTTTGCGGTATTACTAAAAATTTGCTGCATTCTAATATTAGTTTAGTAACAAACACTCTGCAGTCATATCGTAATGATTAAAAGTTTTAATTAAAAGTTCAATTTTCATCTATAATGTAAATTTGTATTATATGTTAATACCAACATATAATTCAATAATATACGAAATATGAACACTACTTCAATCGTATTGTAATAAAATTCTCTTTACACTAGTATATACATACATAAAATCGGATATATACAATTCACATTTCATCAATTTTCTTTTGAATATTCGTATTATATGCAATTAAAAAGTCACGTTAATAAAACAAGTTGTAAATACCGTTTCAACGTTTCCTTTTGTGTCTCCAAGTAACTGGGGGCATTTCTTATCAAAACTTATAATTCGAGATATCCCCAAATGCTTGGAGACACAGAGGAAGCATTTAACGGAGCTCACAACTTCTTTTACTAGTATAATTTTTTCGTTGCAAAAAACTACGTTATAATTTAAGGAATTCTGCACATTTGATTTTTATACAGTTTTGTTTGCACGCTCATGTACTCTTATGGGCCAGGTGTAGGATTCTAATCTTTCAGATGTTTATATCGTATACGTTACGCGTGAAACATGCACATTTTTTTATCATATTTTACAGTAGAAGCCATATATATGTTATCACATGAAGTCAGACATGTTTGGATATGGTATAGATAATCGTGCGTCAAGAGTCACGCAGCTTAAGCCACATCAGAGCTTGACAAGTGTAGACATTTGACGTGTAAAAATTATAAATTCCAGAAATAAGAGTAATGGCGTATTATTATAATACCTAAATTAAAGAAAATAATTTTATAATTTCTGATGCATGAATATCTAGACTCATATATTCCAAATATGTATATACCTTAAGTAACTTTATGCGATAAGAATGTATATATATATCATTTACTGTAGATATGTTAGTGTTCAATCTGCAAACAGTGAAACGCGTAATACCAGAAATCTTTGTTCAAATTTCATCATCATTGATTGGAATTTGCAATAATATGAATAATTTGAGGACAACTGTAATTGAACAATGCTAACAACGATTGCAGGATTTGTCATAGCATTATTATTGAAATGTTTAACTTAGTTCAACTAATTCAATAACCGATGCTTATAAAATCGAAATCATACAACTTTAGTACTCATGTACTCGTGCAGCAGAAAATTGAAACAAACAATAAACTGTCTTGATATTTTGGCGTAAATAATCATTATAAATTATTAATAACAAATGATTATTGATGACCTGATAACTTGACAGTACTTAATCTTTCATCCAGATATTATTTTCGTTTACTACAGAGAATTATGTCTCTCTCTCTCTCTCTCTATCTTTTATGTTCTATGACAAATCTTTCGGACTTGGCTTTCACAATTTTACAAAACAAGAAACATTTTTCTATATAATAGATTTAAGAAATAGCTAAATAATTTTGGATCTAGCATTTTACGTCTTAGTTAAATTGTGGTTGTTAGACATTTGTCATATTGGTATCACGTAAGTAAAAGAAAAATAATACTGCCGTTTGAAGATTGTGAGAGTTCAACCCACGTTCTGAGACTACTCTCCTCGTCCACGTTGCAATGAGGAAAATCTCAAGCTACGTTCGTCTAATTTGCAATAAATATCCGGTCAAACGGTGGAATCCGAGGAGGGCGGTCGTTTTAAATGATATTAAAAAAGTTATATCTCTGAATATATCTCACGGAATGGATGTTACAGTGCCGTGAGTCCATAGTCGGATTTTATCGCCGATGGCGGCACGGGGGCTGATATTTGCGACAATCCGGGAGGACTGGTAGCCGGGGCAAGAGGACTGATACTTCCGGAACTTATGTGTCCCAACGGTCCTCCCGTCGGACCGTCCATCATTCCACCCACGTGATGATGACTCAGCTGTGCTTGGAGATGAGCCAGAGAATGAGGATGACCTTGAAAGCTCGGATGAACCACGCCAACGGGATGAGGAATACTTGAGCTGACCCCATGAACTTCGCTCAAATCGTGACCAATATTAGAATCCAGGCTGTTCTCCATACCGCTGGAAGGTGAGTTGTTGTTTTTCCTTTGGCTATTGTTGTTGCCGGTACCGGACTTCGCCCGCGTCGTCGAAGTCTTCGCCGGTTTAGCTGCTGCCGAAGACGCTTGGCCGTTCGCATTCTTTCTACGTACGTTCTTCGTGTTCGGTAGCTTGTGGTCCTTCTTCCATTTCATGCGGCGATTCTGAAACCAGATTTTGATCTGTCGCTCCGACAGGACCAGAGTATGAGCGATCTCGATCCGTCGTCGTCTCGTCAGGTACCTATTGTAGTGAAATTCCTTTTCCAGTTCGAGGATCTGATGCCTCGTGTAGGCAGTTCTCTGCCGCTTTGGCTCCATTCCAGGTTGATATGAGCCGTTCGCTGGAAGAAGGAAACAAAAATTCAAAAATGTTAGTATTATGACGCTATAAATAATGATAAAGTCTCAGTTCCGAAGATATTACTTTCTTTTTATAATTAAGGAGCAATAGACAGCGCTTTATTATCTATTTATGCTTAGAGCTTTTTTATAATTAAAACTCTGCAAAAAGCTCTTCATTTTTAATCGCTCCTGATGCAAAAACTATCGGCGTCTTAATATCCTTTGCCAGAGACACATTGTGGCATCTAATTCCAAATGTATTGTTAAAATAGAACTTACGTATTTTTATGCTCTTTGTATCTTTCATACTGTACAAAATGCTCTGTGAATCTATCAAATGCATCCGTTATTTCTTAAACAATTTAAGACACTAAAAAAGGGGAACAAAATATCAATAAGTATGTTTCTTCAGATTGCCAGCATTAATAATAAAATTTCAAATTTCAATCGACCTGAGCTGGCCACATTTATTAAATACTCTTTCACAACGTTTCGACCTTTGGTTTAGGTCCTTATCAAGTGGGATCTAAGAGTTAAAATATCAATAGTTCTGCATCTTTGCATTATAAGCGATTGGCAACCCAATAGCTTTTACGAATAAAACTCCAACAATACAAATAACTAGCGAAACATTATTCTCAAGTTTAATTTACAATCTTTAATACAACTTTAGTTTTTCCGAGTTAACTTGTTACTGTAACATTTGATATCAATTTAATATTAATTTTATAAAACATTTTAAAAGTTTATCGCATCAGGAAATAACAAAAACTCCTACAATATTATATTAACTATAATATTTATACGATGCTTTGTAAAGTAGTATCCTGCGTGTAAGAAATTTTATTGCCCAGTTTCTGTATACAATTAATATTTTTCATTCACGTCCGAAATCAATTATTTTTCTTAATATTCCCGTGTCCAACATTCCTACTATTAATCCGATAAATAGTCTTTGAACAATCTTGCTGAACTATTCATTGTATCATTGTTACGCGCACAAAAGTTGTTTGAATAGACATTTCACGTACACCATTTATAAAATCATAGCAACAAGTTTTGTGGAGAAAGGAAATGTATGTAGAACGCTAATTCAATAAAAATGTTTTTTTTTCTCAAGTCGCTAGAACTAGAATGCAAGGTGTAAAGAAACATGAAGGACGATTCGTTTAAATGGCGCCTGAGCCACGTGTTATTTCAACGACAAAAGAAGAAGTTATTGTACTTTGCATGATTATTACTATATAATTATAAAATATTCCTTACGTTGACGTCTAGAGAGATATTATATGCGAATAACAATTTTTATAGCACATGACCATTCGTCACGTCATGGCCGTTTTGAATAGCATCAAAGTCGGCTGAAGTGACTTTTGTAATCTGATCAATCCACGAGATACGCCGAGTCGAGTTGCGAAGGCAGAATACGCGTATGCAAATTCGCGGGGATAAAAAGTGCCAAGCGTATACGCGCATTGGTCCCGCTGAGCATCATCTCGAGAAATGCAGAAACACTAGATTATCCTCTGCAAGCTAGCTTCAAGGTTAAATAATTTGATAATCGTCTCGTCCGTTAAGTCTGCTTAGTTTGTCAGGGTCTGTTTGAAGCGTACGATTCGCCGTGCAATTAATTAATGCTCGGCAGAAACCTTCAATATTTAAAAGCGCGCCGAGGTGAATGTCAATAAGCGCGAAATGACCAAAGTGCTTTGGAAAATAATCAGATACGACCGAGCAAGTAGATTGGTAAAAAATATCCCGCTGTGGCAAGTTGATGTTAATATTTGTGAGTCATGCTAGTAGCAATCCGTGGTGGTCCATTCAGTCCGATAGAGGAAACATGGGAACGAGCTCAGTTTAGAATCCGTGCAGACATTCCATTCCGAGCTGACCGTCGGGCTCGCGGAGGCCCCTTTTAACTCCGACGTCCGGCGACCGTACTTCGACAACCAAAGGGGAGAGATTGCAGCCTTTGACAGCCCGACGGACGAGCATACCGAAGTTCAGAGATTTCAAATATTAAATCGCGCAAATACCAATATAACGGAAAGTGTAACTTGCAACCTCGCACGTTTCACGGAACATTTTAATGTAACAGTTACAGCGGTTGAAAACCACCTCGCCATCTCTGTAAGTCAAACTTTCTCGATAATATTGAAGATTGTGTTGTTTTTAGTTTCGCTGACACGTCAGCCTCTCATCTGTTCTTGATGCAATAATTAAAATACGTTCTACAGTTGTATTTCTATAAAGCAAAGGAGACAGTATATCAGTCTGGAAGAACTGAAAAAGTCTTCAATCTATCAAACTATCGAAAGACTTTGGCTGTATGTATCTATACGTTCCCGTTAATAAATATTTTTTTAAATGTTTGTTATAATTTTATACACGGAACCATTTTATTAGCACATTACTTTCAAAATACTATTTCAAGCACTTTTCTTATTAAAATAAAAGTTTTCTCGAAAGACATTTGTTTTTATCACACGTTATAAGGTTATTGATGGCGAGTGTGGCGCAGAGAAATGTGCGCTGCTTAGGCTCGGTTTCACCAACGTCGTTTAACTTTAAGCTTAGTTTAATTCGTTCTTTGTTTCTTTTCAACTGTTACTTTAGAAAGAGACATGAGTTAAACTAAGATTAAAGTTAAGCGACGTTCGGTCAAACCGGGCCTTAGTAAACTAAATGAACGAAAAGATTCGAGTTTAAGTCCACGGACACCGCTGGTTTTTTTTCGGAATTTCCCGAAGAGAAGTGGCAACCATCGAGAATATTCTGCCATCCCTTTAGGAGTATATAGCCCTCCAGAATGGAGATTTTCTTCGGCAATGTTAGCAGTCTACGGAAGATAAAGTAAAACCAAATACTCAAAGTACCAGAACGAACTGGATGAACAGGCTTTAAGCTTAATTCTCGAGGAAGAAGAAGAAGAAGAAGTTATAAGGTACACTCTTAAGCACGTATCGTCAAGAATTGGAGGTACACGTTAAAGTAAAAACCATACGTAACTATGCACGGAGAGACCAATGTGGTTACCACATGTCTAATTAGGGTTGGCACAACCCCAATAAATAGTAATATTTGGAACAGCTATATCTGTGATTGTCATATAGCGAATTCGGTTGCTTGTACTAGTGCACACTAAGAGTCGTCTTAAATATTTCCTGAAATATTTCGCAGCCAGTAAAATGATCTGTATAGCATCCATGCGGATTACTTTTTGACCAAATACTCTTTGAACATGCTTTCAAGATGAAGTTAAATATAAAAATTGACTATAGAGACTGACCTTAGTGCGCACTCAATGCGCACTAGTGCAAGCTATCGAGTTCGCTAATACCCACATTGGTATGGTACGTAGTGGAAACAACTGTATCCGTTTTGTGCAGCACACTTAGTAAATGTTGCAACACAAAACAATGTAGACGCCCCTACTATTTATACGGCAACATTTTAATTTTAGTTATTTTTGCTTTAGCCAGTCTTTCCGTGTGAGAGACATAAAAATCCACCAAATAAATAGTACCTCGAAATTAGGAGTTTTATTCTGAGGAGGTACATTATCTACGCGATCACGAGTGGTGCTCATGCAACACAGGAAGAGATAACAAATGCCTAACTGGCATGGAAACAGACATTTAGAGGTGCATTTCAACCTCGTACTAGTTTCGGAGGTACGTACGGAAAATTTTGCACCTCTTTAAAAAAGGTACCGTGAATTCAACAGAGCGGTATTTCCAATCGATCGTTTTATGTTCATTATTACCTTGTATATTTATACCTCGCGCTAATATACCGGGAAGAGTGTCTCCTATCAGCGTGTAACTCGAATCTTTATTCTACTTGGAAATTTGTACCTCGAATTTGACGGCACTACGCGATACAAGTTCAAAAGTGTACACGGAGAAAAGTTTCTTTTAAGGTTTATCCTGAAAATTAGATAATTGGGACAACGCGACATTTCAAAGAATTTTACCAGAGTTTTTTGACATTTTACCACACATTTCACTAGTAATTATACTTGGTGTATATTTTACTGGTAAAATGTACGATAAAATTAAAAAAATCTCTTATAAAGTTCTTCAAGACGCCACGTTGTCTTCTTTTCAGGATATATGTTAAGAGAAAATTGTCTTCGTGCATCGCATGTTAAATTCCTTAACATAATATTAAAGCTCCTTAATTAATGATATTAAATGTTTACGAATTGTTACCAAATGTTTGAAGAATATCCAAAGTAAAACAATGTTCAAACAATGTCACTTTTTCTTATTGTGTAACGAAAATAATTTGTCTTCAAAAGGTTGTTTTTTTGTTTGTTCCGTTATATCGATTTGTAGCATCAACAAAAGAAATAACTTTTCGTTGCAGGCCGTTTTATTTGGAAGCATAAATTATTCGGTTTTTGCAATATATGGAATTTTCGTTTCTATTATATCACGCGCGACGGGCTCAATAGAAATAGAAATGCAAGTTGGAATGAGCAGCATTTTCCGACGTCAAATGGAATAGAAATTTTTCTGACAACAAAGCCAGCCTAATTCCAAAGGGGCATTACGTTGCAAAAATCACTTTTGGCATTTCTTTAGATACCAGCAAAATAGTTGTGGCTCAGAGCGACACGAAATACTGGACAAATCCTGGAGAAACGAATGCGTTACAGATACACTGCTTAGAGGCATTACTCTGTAATTTGTGAGACATTAATTAGTACACCTGTTTTATGATTATGCTCAAAACGTCTTTCTATCTTTATGAAGATAGGAAGCACGCGTATATTAGTTCTGGAAGTAGTTGTCTGATTAATTATGAAAGAAGAACTACATTCGCGCTAATTGCCTTAATTACAACAACCAGGAGCGTTATACCATCACCGGCATCTGTTTCAAGTCTCGGGCGCTACGCAACCTTGCACAATGATGAACGTCTACTTGAAACGCGGTAGAATCTCTCGTGTCGAATTTTGAAATTTATTTCTACCCGCAACGACCGAATTGTGTGCTGTGGACGTCCCATTATTGTAGTATACGATCGCTACTGTGAGAAAAGATGAAGATATATTAGGCGTAACAGAATTCGCCTATAAACCGAGGTCCCGCCACAACGCAGGTGATCGCAAGGTGTTGGGATAAATTTCAGCCCATAACTCTTCGGACCGTACTCTAAAGCTCGTCACGTTGTAAACATACAATATAATGTGTACCCACTAAATACACCAACAGATTCTTTCGGCCTTTCGCGTTCGGAAGAAAAGCTTGCAAGGTCAACACTCTGCGTGTCGGCGTTCCTTCAAATTTACAGCCGTTTCAATTTGTAGCAGTATTGACAAACGAGTATTAAAGTGAGAACTAATAAACACGTTAGCAGGTCTTGCCTCAATATTTTGTTTTCGCCCGTTTAAAAGAAGAAGAAGAAGGCAGTAATTCGGGAGGGGCAGAATTTGAACAAATAAATACCGTATTTTACTTTACACGTGGTAATTATTACACGGGAAGAAAACTGCCGTAGCTAAGAACTGCAACTAAATTTCAGTTGTAAAATGTGGACAACTGAAAATATCTTGCTACTGTGCCTATTGTATTAGGTGCGACAGCAAACCGTTTGCTGTGGCTTAGAAATTTTTAGCAGGAAAATATTTTTAGGAAAACCGTGATTAGCTACGGTAGCGAAAATTAGCTTTTCAGAGTGTCAACAACGTACAGCAAACTTTACGTCTGAGATTACTGGACGTGCCACATAAGATAGAAGGCAATATCGCCTAGCCGTCGGATATATTGCGGCGGCGTTTAATTGCACTCTTCGCGATGCAAACCGAAATGGAAATACCGATAACGTTTATTAATCGTGAAGCAAGATTGAGATCGGTGTTTTGTTAACTGGAGATGTTTGTACTTGTGCGACAAATAGTAGTTTCAACAATGGATGCAAAAGTCTCTCTCCGAACGGAAGACAAGGCGAGGATAGAGAAGAAACATGTAACGTTACGACGGGAGCGACGGAAGCGAATTGAAGTAGAAGAGATTTCGACGTTGCTGCAAGAAAATGATGCGGTGCGCTCCAGTTTCGGGGACAACGGCACAAACTTGAGAGTCGCGTGAAACTCACCGACGCCAGCAACATGAATTTTCTTCATCCACGGATAAATCGTGCGATCCCTGTTTTCTTCATCCTCCTCCTCTTCCTCCATTATCCCCGGCGAACCGTCCATCTGACCGTCCTCTATGTCGTCCGCGTCCGAGCTGTCCTCCACATGGTGCTGTTGCTGCTGCGGCGGCGTCTGCTGCTGACCACTCTGTATATGTTGTGATTGCTGAGACAGGGACTGTTGCGCCTGAAGATCAGGCGAATTGTCTCGGTGCAACTGACCCGAGCCGGCCGGACTGCAGGCATTATTCTCGTGCTGATGATGCTGAAGGGCGTCCGGTTGCTGCACGTGATTTTGCATTATAGACGGGGACAGAGGCGTGGAGCCGAGGATAGTTGACGTCGGTACGGACGGTTGTTGCGGCTGCTGCTGCTGCTGCTGCTGCTGTTGACTCTGTATCGACGAGGGACACGTGAGCGGTGGTTGCTGGGCTTCCGGCGGCATCGCTAAAGCGCCCACCGCGTGATGATGAGAGTGTAAACTGGCGTGAACCGCGTGGACTTGGTGGTGAGGATGGTGAGTGCCGTAATATCCGCCGTATCCCGCGTATCCTCCGTTCAATTGCACGGTGGAGGAGGCGCCGTAAGGAGTCGACGCCGCTTGATGGTGATGCTGGTGGTAGCCGTACTGCAGCTGGGACTGCGGATGACTCAAATGGTGACCGCCGCCGCTCGAGAAAAAGTCCGCTCCGGTCGAGGGTATATAATTACTCTGGCTGTACTCCTCGTTGGGAGGGAACTTGGGGTCGACCAGCGAGGACGCGGCGGCGGCCAGGTGATGATTTCCAGCCTGCTGCTGGTGCTGATGGTGATGGTATCCACCGGCGGCGGATGGAAGGAAGGAATTCATGTTCCCGAATACTTTCTCGCGGAAGAAGCACGCGCGCGCGATAGTCCAAGTGAATTTGAAAACGACCGCACTCCTCGATCCCTCTCCCTTATCTCGCTCCCCGCGTCAATTCTTGGATCCGGAGCACCATTTCGAGTTAATATCCATTCTCACATGCACACACTGCACGGCACTGCGCTCCGGTCCATCGTCCGCGCACCTCGTCGCCTCTCGCGAAAAGGGGTGACGTTTTCTCGAAAGGAGGAAAAGAGAGAGAGAAAGAGAGAGAAAGAAGGAGAGGGAGGGAAAGAGAGAAAAGAAATGGAAAGAGCGGGGCCAGAACGAGCACGGGACTCCCGGTGGACAGCTGCTTATTCTCTCCTCTCCTTCCGCCACTTTCGCGATCCTACACGACCTCGTTCGCTCCTTCCCGCCCACCGGAGCCCAATTACCATACCACGTGACCGCAAAGCCGACCAATCGGAGCCGCTCCTAGCCCGCGACCATGATGGATAACCACGGCACGCATGCAACACGTGAGTGGCGCCGCGAGAACCACTGCGGCAGGTGCGGCAACTTCTCCCTTCGCTTCTCTCTATTTCACGATTGTCACCGGGGGATCCTCGATAGCGCGCCCCGCACTTAATTAATTTCTACGCCCACGTTTTTTCTCCCCCCCCTCCCCTCCGAGTCCCGCTCACCCGAATTCAACGCACCACGCACGCACTTGTCTCTCTCATAAACTTTCACTTCTTCCTCACATCATCAGTTCGCGCGCGCGAGTATCAAGCTGACGTTCGCGCAAACAGTTGCCGACAGGTCGAGCGCGTTCCCATGCGAATCATGTTTCTTTCGATAAACGTACACGCTTCGCACTGTACTTCCGCCACCGCTACGCCACGGACCGCGAGTGATCGCCCTAGCCGCGGAGGGGCCGGGAGACGCCGACGGTCGGCGTCGAGCGAGAGATGAGTCCTCGACGGAAAGCTCCGAAAGTGAGCTCGTCCCGCGTCGGCAGAAACTCGTCTGGCAACTCCGGTTCGCCTCCAACTCCCTCCAGCTCCGTTCGCGCCGGCTGGTTTTGAGCCGATGCAGAGAGTCGCGTCCCCTCTTTCTCGTCATGCGTCTTCTCAGGAGAGTCACCCCCCCACTACGCGGCGGCATGAGACCAACCCCTGCCACGGAAACAGTGGATCTTGTGCCCTTATGGGGCATACTCGAGGGTACCTACAACCGTGGAGTCACTCCTACGTATCCCTTTAACCCGCCCTCCCCACGCTTCTCATATCCGTCTTATATCGCAGCGCCGAGAGAACGCTGAGAGAAACAGCGGCAATGAAGGTTAATGCCGTTGATATCGAATACGATTGTCCTACCAATTCGCAATTGTTTGTCGCGATCAGCAGGTGTTACCGTAACCGCCCACTGCACCTCCGTTCGCCAGTGTTGTACGAAAACTGGGCGTTAATTGATCCCTATTGAGTCTCTCTCTCTCTCTCCTATCGAATGGAGGTAATTTATCTCAAGTTGCCGTTAATAAAAGTATGAATGAACTTGGTCGCTAATTGATATCCGTATAGAAGCAAATTGAGGTGTATCCACTTTCTGTGGCTACGTCGAGTAAACGATAGATGCGTTCCTTCATCTCGCGTTCGTTCTCACGAAACAGGGACACCGCCATCTTCGAATTTTACACAACTAATTGGCACTCGAGTCTGAAGGTGTTACGCAAGGCCCGCTCGAATTGGCTAAATTAATAGTAATAGATCTGCCGTTCGATTACACTCCGCTCATATTAATGCACTAGTGTCTCGGCGTACTCGGTCAAGTACGTCTACTCGCGATCAGCTGCGTGGCATAGAGAATATAAAACGCCGAGTCATTACACAAAGAGCATACTCACTGTGTTTTGCCTTGGTACGACAATACAGCACGGTAAATTTAAGCTACATTGACTGCGCTGTATAAACGATCCAGGAAATAACAGTATATTGTAGAACGGTATTGTGGAACAAAGGCGAGCCCGAGATTCGTCTCGTGCGAGTTAAATAAATTTCGTTTGAAAATTCGATATTTTATATATATATATTTTTTTTTTTGGCAAAGCGCCTGGTCGCTGAAAGTCCACTAATTAACGTCAGATACGCGCCAGATGCCAGGAAGATGGAAACGATTCAAGATCTAGCGTTTCAGGAAGACTGAAAATGCATCGTCCGTTTTTACGGAGATCTCTCTCGTTTCCTCTCGAGTTAGTTCTCCGTTTATCCGGATACGCCGCGGCTTATTTCTATTTTTCTCATGGCCACTTCATGTCGCTCCAAGCGGGAGAGCGGAGCTTTGAGTGGAATCTGGAAGAGTCCAGAGGGGTTGAAGGGGCCGCTGAATGACGTGGAGGAGGCTAGAGGGGGTTGTCTCCTCGTTTTGCGACACAACCTCCTCGTCTTTATCACCGACGACGCTCGGGAACCGCTGTCCTTCTCTCTTTCCTCATCCACCGCCATCTTACGCCATCTCTACTTTCGTCGTCTCGCTCCTTTCCTCCGGCTCTGCCCCGAGTCTTCTGCTCTTGTCTTCCGGCGAAACACGATCAATCACTTTTCCCAGTCCGCCGGCATGACACCCCCTTTACACCCACGACTATCCTCGAAGAGGGCCTGCTTCGTCAACGACGAGTCCTTTCGGCTACCGGACGAACGTGTGATCATCCGAGTGACGATTATCATGAGATCACACACGTGGGTCTGTCATATCGCTTCGTGAATTTTGTTGTCTCACAGAGGATTGTCGATGTCTCGACAACCAAAACGAGTTGTGCCTCTGAGAAGCTGTATTGACACCTCAGCGCGATATATCAAATAAATCGTTTGATATCGATGAATTTTTAAACGGCAAATTGGTAGCGGCGTGAAATATTGGACCGTTGAGGTTCGTTTTTAATGGATCTGTTACTGATGTATTTGAAATATTTTGAGGAGTCGAGAGAAATGAATGTTAAAATGACAGTGCGCTTTTTCAGCAATTCCGATCTTAAACTATAACGTGTGCCACTTCTCTATAAAAAGCCGCTTGGCAGGAATTCTTCGTGGATTCAAGATTTAAAGAGTTCAACGGACTTGCATCGTGATAATGATAAATGAGGACGAAACAGTTTACGATTTAATATCAATCTTGGCCAAGGCTGGTGCTTATTATTGCCCATTAGTAAAGTTTTAATAACGCAATACGGTGCTCGGACGGGGGTGGAACCGTTGCGATTTATCATTTTCATCGCTTTATTAACGGCGTTTCAGTTATATTCAACTTGTTGATCGCTTATGAAAGAGGAGCATCGTCTCTGATATTGAAGTTGCGCGAATTTGCGTTTCCGGGATTATTTTTAGTGAGGTCCCAACTGATTAATCGTCTCTACCAAGGGTAGAAAACTGCAGATGAGATATTTGGACGAAAATGGATATAATTAAAAAAAAGACACGCAAAGGTTTCATGTCGAAGTTTCATCTTCATAGTTGCAACAAACAGTTTGTGTAAAATGGGATATACGTTATAACATGCACTGCCGAATAGACGTCGCTCTATTTCACAAAGGCTGGCGCAAGCCAGCCTTCAAGGAAATCACAATCTAATCTTTATTATATTATTTAGGGGGTTATCGATCGACGATTCGTTCCAAATTCAAACTGCATTCAAAATATTTGCGAATCAATACGATCTTCCACGATGGAATCGTGATCGATAGATCTTTCGGGGAAAATTATGCGCGGTACATCTCGCGCGTAGCATTTCAGATTTTAAAATTTAGAAAATGTGAATGTTTTTCGCATTCGTTCTAGCTCAAGGTGTTGGCAGCGGATCTGTCCGAGGTGAGAAACATGAGTCTCCGGAGATTCGATTTCGCTGCTGAGTCACGATCCCGAGCTTGCCGACATGAAAAGGGGTCCATGTTCCCTTGGGGACATCCAGTATACATCTGATGCCTTCCGAACGTTCCTCAAGACTGCTCCTTTTTCCACGTACGCTCGATTAGACAGCATAAAAATTAAAAATATGCACAAGCATTTCACAATTTTCTTTAATACGAAGAGAGCAAGAGTAAGCGAAAGATTTGTTATTATGAGAGAAAATTGTGGGAAATAGTTTAATTTTTGTTGCCGAAGCATTAACGTCATTTTATCTCCGAAAATGCAATCGCAAAATGGGTGATCGCTTATTTGCAAACCGCATCGTAAGAATACTTTGTCGAAAGAAAAAATGTTGCCTATAAAAATGTGAAAAAGTACCGCGCGAAGCGACAATAACTTGACGAGCGGCATTGACGCAAAGTCACGTTGACGGCAATGAACATGACATCTTTCATCAGGCAACTGGACGAATACCCCAAGTTCGATGTCTGAAGCAGCGCGTGAGTGAAAGTGTCAGCTGTAAGTCATTTCTTGGCCAACAGTAGCCCCACTTACAGGATGGGAGAAGATGAAGAGTCACTAGAGGCGCGATAATTATCGGCTGGGCATTGCGGTAAAGATGTTAACGCGACCTTCGATCCGTAACCTCGGACAATTACCACCTGACATCGCCGCTTGAAAGCAATTTGCATATACAACGCACTTTTCCAACTTCCTTGAAAAGCGGAAAATAAAAAGTGTCTGTAGCCGTCGACGACGCGTGAAGAGGCGCAAAAGTGGCTCGTTACCTTTGCAATTCGAAGCGTCGTTAGCGCAAATCCCTCTTGACAATCTTGACACTCTTCCTCAAACAAATCCGGGGTCACAACGCGTGAGCCGCACAGGCACAGAGATAAAAGTATCAAAAACTATGCGCTCAAGTGTTTTTAAAAACAATGCACATACGCTAGTTGTATAATGGCAAATCTGCTGAATAAGTATTTACAAACTTTGCTGAAAATAACTTGCCGAGAAAGACGATGCGAGTCCATCATCGTTATGCTAATGTGGCAATAATTACTGCGACAATATATCCTCCTTTACCGTGACTTTCTTATATGTACTTATGTACATACACACATAATACAATATTAAATATATAAAGTCCCTCATTATGAGATCGAATTCTAATATGGAATAGCGGGGTTGCCGTTAAATTAATAAGCTTCAATTGATTCTACCATGAATTTCTTGCCCTTGGAGCGAAATCTGTTTGGTGGAAAGTTTGTTGTTAGATTGTGTAATCGTTGCGAAAAAGAATTGTTATTGAATTTGTGTGTTGAAAACTTGCTATCTCATATTAGAAATCTATCTCATAATAAAGACTTTCCTCTACACATATATAATTATATAACTATACAATATGTAATTATCTATTCAAGCTGTTCTTTTTTATTTTTCGCTGACCTAAAAATTTGAAGTGGAATCCTTAAATGTGCCACACACGATATTACGAACAGTGACGGATGCATATCTTGCGTTGCCAGATGTTTTTATTCGCAGCAACATCGCTTGCTGAAGAGACGGCATTTACGGGAACATTTCTGCAGGATGCTGTTGATTACTGCCTGAAGCAGAAGGAAAGAAGGAGGTAAGGAGGTTAAGGTCGTTTACCACCCATGACCTCGACAATTACTATTCGACTACCCTCCGTCTTCCGTTTCAAAAGCAGTTTGCATACACCAGGATGTTTTCGGCATT